GAATCCAGCTCTCGCATGGATTTACTCTAAGCCCACAGCTGTTCGGAGACCTGCATGAAATAACTGGGTCTATAAAATCCATGACAGAGTTTGCTCTGATCAGTCAGTGATCACTTTGCCTTCAGGGGATAAATCAAATTCCCCTTCATAACTTCCAGCTCTCTTCCCTCCACTCCGCCTTAATAAGCTGTTTATCGTGGATCAGATCTTCCTTAGATCACAGGGCTGGCTTTCTTCAGCCAGGATATCATCCTGTTTCCTCATCGCTTTAAGTCTTTGTGGCTTACTTTGGAATAGTTGACTTGATCACTGTACATTAATAAATGTTGCCTACTTAAATCAGACAGAAGAGTAACTGCAATTATTGCCTAGGTTTAAATCTTTAACAAGCAAGCTAAACACATTTCCACTAAAAATAGTTCATTTGGCAAAGATTCAAGAAAAATTTAAGGTGGGGGGGGGGGGGGCTCTCATAATATTTTCAGCTTATTGCATAGCACATTCATGCTATCAAATTAAAAGCAAAGATATTCATATCACTGCTGTCCCTGTTCTGTTACAGATAGGTTGTCCTGAATTTCCACTGTCTTTGCAGCTGATAACATACAAAACTGTCATTTTGATCTACTGGTATTTTTGCTTACTATTTATGCTGGGGAAAATGAGCTCCTGAGATGTGCTGCAGAGGAGAATGAGAGCCCTGGTCAGCAGGGAGCCAGGAAGCAATGATGTAGGGTCTATTTGGACGAGAGAGGCGAGTCTCTTTCTCAGCCTTGACTCCACTGACATTACTTGCCAACCTCTCTGGAGTGAATGAGAGGGAAATAAGATTCAGGTCACCGTAGACGCGCTAGCTCTGAGATTTTTCCTTGTGACTTCCAACTTCAGAGAGGTAGCCAAAATGTAATTATTTATAATGGTCCTCCCATATTCTTTCAGTTCTTTATATAATTTATATCATTTGCCAGCTAAATGGCTGAAGGCCAATGGCTGATGGCAAAGGGTGGCCCTGCAGGTGACTGACTGGGGTCTCTCTTGCTTCACTGATCAGTGGGTGACGGTGCTATTGATTTGATTTCTCCATCACGCCACTGAGTGGATCATCCAAGTGGCCCTGGCAGAAAAACAAACACAATAGCATTCTTGTCTCCACAGCAGTGATCAAGGCCTCTGTTTTGTGTTTGTGATATTATGGCAAGCTGCCTGTGTTGAAGTAGGGGTGGCATTTTGGGCTGAGGATGTAAAAGCTTATAGTCATGCTTGTAGTTTCTAAGAGTTCCAGGAACATGAATCCCACTCCTGATTTTTACTGGTGTGGTAGAGCGGAGCATCCTAGGAGACTGCATCTGCACAAAAGGCAGCATTTCTGGGGAGGGAGAGAAGGAGGAAGGTGGTGTTACAAACCATAAGGGTTTGTAATGAGTTTATCTTCCTCCGTGAGAGAGGAGTAGTTTCAGTTGTACCACCAAGAAACATTGACCGTGCTCTGTGTAGCCAATCAGCTGGTGGTCTCCCAGCAGAGGCTGATGAGAAGATGATCACAGCCTGTGAGTGGCTAAGGTGGGGAGAAAAGCTCTGATGAGGTTGTTTCCATCTGGCTCTACAAATGTCTGTCATCTTACAGTTTCTTCTACATAGAGCTGGGCTCAGGGACTGAGGGCTGGCAGGAGGGTGCTGGGTCAAGAAGCAGAAGTTGCAAGAAGCAGTCTGGCTTTTCTGTCAATCCCAGGAGGGAGGGCAGTCGGATTTTTGGACAAGCAGTTGTGGTGTGGGAACCTGTATGTGGGACCCTGCAGCAGACCCCGGGACAGGGGTGAAAGTTGGGTTTTGTTTATTTTATGTGCTCTAAGAAAAGGATTGTGAGGGAATCCCTGCATGAAGAGGACACACCAGCTATCTGTGAGGAAAGACATAAAGCTAGAGGATCTGTACGGCCAAGAATACATGCATAAAACTTCAGTGCTTTAAGCCAACTTCTCTGATACAAAATAGTGTTATGGATGTGGGAGTTACTTGTCCTTTTGCTCTTTTCAGCTCTCTCATTTTCAGCATTTTGCTTT